ATATATATATATATATAAAAGATAAATAGCCATTTATAAGACTGAGTTTATTTCAGCTCCTCAGACTGACCAAGACTTTTGGATAAAAGACAAAACATTTCAAAAAGTTTTACTTTCTTTAACTTTACTTTTTGAATCCATCCAGAGGACCTGAGTTAACTAAGACTTTTAAAGAGTTTTAATTTGTGAATCCTTTTCTTTGCTTCTGTTTTCATAAGTTTGATGATTCTGTCCTGATTTCTTTACACCTTCTCTCTGAGGCACGAGGAGTTGTTTGAGGCGCTGCAGAGACCCACCTCCTGCTGAGTCCACGTCAGAGTCAGAGATGTGAGTGATGGAGAAGCGGGACACGTTGGACGGGGACACGGCGAAGCGTGAGAACTGGGTGGTCGGTCTGGGCTCCGGAGCTTTGGTGACTGAGCGAGGCGGGGGGGAGTCTGCTGCTGCCGAGGACGTCGGCAGAGGAAGGAGGGGGAAGTCGTCGTCCCACTCGAACCCTGCACCTGACAGAAGACGGTCACTAGTTCTAAGTTTGTTTCTACAAACAAATCGTTTAAAATTGAAGAGAAGAATCGACACTCACTCTCCTCTGAGACGTTCCCGTCTGAAGAATCGTCCGAGGCGTTCAGCCTGTCCACAGATTTTCTTCTTGAGCTCCGACCCTCTGAGGCCAAAGGGAGGCCGTGCTCCACCAGATCTTTAGTCGGACTCTCCTGTTGGGTAGAACCGTATGATCCAACAAAACTCAGAGCTGAGAAAATTCATTTTGAACAAGTTGAAAACACCAACACTGGTAAAGTGAAAGGATTTTTGTTTTTAAGGACAGGAAGGTTGTTTTATTTTTTATTAGAAAGTAATTTATCTGTTTAAATTGATTCTAAATAACCAAACTCACTTCAGTCACTCATTACTAGTTAAATATTCCACCTGCGGCCCAGTTCTTCTGCCGTCTCATCTTAAAGAAGTTTGGAAACACGTGAACTCGTCTTAAACATGACATTGATCAGTATTTATAAATTACTTGGGATTAAAATTATTCTAAGACGTCTCTCAACATGAGGCGGTTCATAATGATGGCATCATGCAGCACTTTAATTAGCACCAACTCTCAGAAATGTTTGTTGGATGAATAAATATTTTCTCTTAATTCATTATTTTTAAGAGACTCCTGCAGAAAACATCACGATGTTGACGAGCCACAGAACCTTCCAGTTTTTATAAAGTCATGTTTTATTGTCTGCACCTGGATGGACCCTGGAGTCAGGTTCGTGAAGATTTCATCTTTACCTGATCGAACAGATACACCGTAACGTCGTCGAAGAAGGACACGGTCTTCTTCTTCCGCTCCAGCTCCTCCTGCAGGTTCTCCATGGTGAGCAGCGTCGGCCTCTTGAGGAGGCTCCTCAGTTTGTGGGCCTCGCTGTCGTCGCTCACCACGACGGGCACCGGGTGGCTCTCCTCCTCGCTTTCCTCGCCTCCACTCTGCACGCTGTAGGTTCTCAGCTCCTCGTCCGACTCGTCGCTGTCGTCTGAGTCACCGTCCTCCTTGTCGGCCTCCTCGCCGTCAGCGGGAGCTGCTCGGCCCTCTGTTGGAGGTGGAGAAGGAGCCGTTGGTGGGGAGAGGGGCGAGGAAGAGGAGAACCTCCTGCTGTTTGCCGTGTGCTGCAGGGCCACCTCATCTTTGGGTAAGGTGTGTGAGATTTCACCTGATGGCCTTTTTGGAACGGTTTTTATCACCGTCTCCATCTCTGAAGCTTGATCAGAACCTTTTGTGTCTTCAGTCTCCTCGCCCACCTTAAAAGTGGAGGCACAGTCTCCATGAAGGGCACCAAGAGCCTCCTCCATGGCCCCCACCACCTCAGCTGCCCAGTCCTCCATAGAGGAACTCTCCTCCTGGGACGGCCATTCGTCCAGAATCCCCTCAGAGTCCGACGGCTCCAGAGACGGTTCTGGTTCCTCATCCTGGCAGCTCTCCTCCGTCTCCATCTCTGGAGGACGACAGGATTCTGTTGCTCCTTTTGCATTTTGATCTCCTACTTTCAACTCTAGGTCTTTGTTCACCACATCTTTTAGTTCCTCCTCCTCCTCTTCAGTTTTTCTCTTTTCTGCCTTTTGGTCTCCATCCTGCTGCACCTCTTCATCATTTGGTCCATCCCTCAGCTGAAGTTCTTCATCATCTTCTCGGCTTTGCCTCTCATTCTCATAATCTGAAAAGTAGGCGGAGTCTCTGTATGGAGTCTTATCACTCAGGGGTAACAGAACGTGGTCACCGGTCTGTGAGTTCCCCAAAGCTGAATCTTCACTCTCTACTTCCCCTTCTGAAGGTACCAGTTTATCCTCCTCTTCCTCCAGACTTGCATCCAGGCCAGACTGTCCCTGAGGCTGTGGCCGCAGCTCGTGAGCTTCTTTGAGAATGAATTCTGGACTCTCGTTGTTCTCTGTGTCGTAACCACTGTCCATGGCTTTAGGAGAGCTTGAGGGGTGGGAGGATGCAGGACTGAGGCCTTCACAGGACCCTGCTGCAGATGGGAGGTCCATGGAGTCCATGGAATCTGGAGTTCCTACCTGCTTCTGGAGGGATCTGAAGGCAGGAGAAGAGTTCAGCTCGCTGCCCTCGTCAGCGAAGATCCCCGAAGTGACGTCAGTGATGTCATCTGTTATGTCGTCATCCTCGTCACTGCAGTCGAGGATGTCGGCGAGGCTCACGCTGGAGCCGCCATGCTCCACGCCACTATCTGCGGCGTGACTCAGCTCCGACTGTGGGTCTGAGATGACCACCATCACGTGCATGTTGTCCGCAGGAGGTGGAGGGGTTTTAGTCATCGTCAGGTTCTGCTCCTCTATTCTTGGTTCTGGTGGTTTCTGCATGATTAGATTCTCTTTGATTACTTCCTCTCTCTTCTCGTTACGTGTGGCTTCATCAGCGGTCAGGTGAACGTACAGCTCGTTATGGTCTTGAGACTTTAAGGCATGTTTGGGCACAATGGGACCTCCTGGAGCCGGTGAAAGATTGATCATCTCTTCATTGCTTGGGACATCGGTGGCCTTGTCTCTCATGCAACTGCTGTGAATGTAGCTGTGGCAGCAGCTGTTGTTCCTGACCAGCAGGCCGGTGAGTGGGTCAACAAAGTGGGAGTGGCAGCACTCTCCAGGTGCTGGCGGCTGAGGCTCACCTTCATGGCACAGGTAGATGTAGGCGTTGCAGCTGTCCGGGGGCACCGCAGCACGTTTGCTCAGGCTGAGGCAGGCGCTGTTGTCTTTGGCCTGGTGCGGCTCCAGATAGTCAACAGGTTTGGGCAGAGAGTGAAAGGCCAGGCTGCGCTCCTCTGGCCAGGTGTCTTCGATGTCGGTGCTTGGCATCGTGTAGTGGAAGTCAGCGTAGGCGTCCTGTCTGCAGCTGTGGCTCGCCCGTCTGTGGCAGCCCACGCTGCTGTGGCGGTGCTTTGAAGGCCAAGTGTTGCATGTGTGTCTCTCCAGAAAGAGGTCATCCTCTTCTTCCTCCGACTCGCTGTCTCTGTGCCCAATGAAGAGGGCGCCCCCGGTATCCATGTTGATACTGACAGAGTGGTTGTTGTGCCTTGTGTGGCTAGGCATGGTCTTTCTTAAAGAGCCCATCATGTCATAGTAGCCCCCAGTGATGTTCTTACCCAAGATGGAGGTATGGCTTGTGTCCAGGTATGAGTCTGTGAAAGCCTGTTGAGGTGGACTGTTCAGAGATGGTGAAATATCAAAAGGGTTGTCCAGTTCGCCCAAAGCCTGACGGAGGCTTCTTGACCCCCAGCTTTCTTCATGAAGCTCGCTGGAGTGCTCACTTCCAACCAAATATGGATCTATTCCTAAAGGTGGGGAATGCTCATAGTAGTAGCCCCCATCTCTGTCTTTATAGGACACATAGTGACTGGACTCCCAGGGTCGAAGGGGGCTGCTGTCCGACACTTGTCCCAAAAGGGGCTCCATTGTCAGTGAGATGGCTGGACTGGAGTCGTTGGAGTCGTACACGTCAGATTTATGGACGTCTGCAGACCAGTAGGGGCCGATGTTTGTGGTCTGTGAAGGGCAGGCCATGTATTCACCAGAGTCTGCGCTCCCCGTCAGGAAGCTGCCACTGCTGCCCTGATACTCTGGGCTGTAGGAGCACACGGTGTAATCCGGGTCCATGTTACAGTCCACCGGCTCCTCAATGCGGATGTAGTATTCACTGCCTACTGAAGGGCTGTGGGCACTGAGGACAGGGAGCACATGTGGTGGAAGCAGGTGTTTGGGCTGGTAGTAAAGAGGAGAATTTCCATGGTTCAGGTTTTCCATGGGGCACCCTCCAACGATGCCCCCCGGAGGGTAAAACTCCTCCTGACAGTGATGGGTGCTTGAGGATTCTGAGGGTCTATAAGCCTGCTCTGCTCGGGCTTGCTCCCATTTATACTCAAAGTTCAGGCCCTGACTCGTCTCTGTGACCGTTAGGATGTCGTCTCCAGACTCTGAGTGGTAACCATCCCCTGAAGAGAACTGCTCTAGCAGAGGGAACGAGGACGAAGTCGATGAGGGGTGGTCTCGGGCGATAACCGAGCCGCTGCGGTAGCTGCTGAACCCAGCATTGGGACGCAGCGAGTTCCAGCGTCTCTCAAAGTCCTCCTCGGCCTCGCTGGCCCCCTTGGCACACAGGTAGCTGAGCAGCAGGTGGACTTCCTCCGCATTGGGTCTCTGATCTGGCTGGAGCCAGCAGAACTGCATAACCTCGTACCTGAAGAGACAAAAACATTAATCATGAGGATCAATTCATTAATTTGCTGGTGTTTTTTTGAGACTACAAAGAAAAGGCAACTAGAAAACAGCCCTGCAGAACTAGATTTCTACAGGGAATGTGATTAAACTGGTTCTGGAAAGAATCTCATCGTGTCTCGCTACATTTACTCTCGTCGCTAAAAATTGTGTGACTCACCAACGTTCAGCCAAGGGTACTTGGAGCAGGGGTTTGGGCAGTCGCAGCTGCTGCTCCCTCACAGCGTACGTCAGGACCTGCCTGTCGGTGTAATGTCTGTAGGGCTGGTTTCCCAGCTCGAACAGCTCCCAGATCGTCACGCCAAGAGACCTGAGACACGAGACAGTTTGGAACTTTAATTACTCTTCAGAATTAAGCAGGAAATGAAGCGTCAGTTCCGACTTAAACAAACATCACAGTTTAAACCTTTTGCTCTTTTATCTCGACGAGCCTGGTGACAAAGTATGAAAGGAATAAAAAGACTTTAGTCGTGCTTGGTCATTTTCTTTAGTTTTTCCACATTAACTGGTAAGTTAAACAGTCACTTGTTAAATTAAGTTCACATGAAATGTTTTTCTGGTCCAGTGGTTTGTTGAGAGGGCTACAGGAGATTCAGCAGAAAGATCTCCTGAAGATCAAAGATCTTCTTCCTGATGGCAGGAGGTTTACAAACCTCAACCCTGAGGGCGTTTCGTCCATTTCTCCTTAAAAATGGACCATCAGGAGGGAAAGAACACTCCGATACCTCTCAGCAATTTTTCCTGCACTTTGCAGAATCTTCCTGTCGTTTAGTCAGCTGCCAAACCAGGAAGTGCTGCAGCAGATTAGGATGTTCTTGATAGTTCTCCGAGAAGAACTCCTTCATTCTGTTGGGTTTTTCCATGTGTATCGTATTTTCCGGAGCTTAAGTCGTGTTTATTATGCGTCACCGCTGACCCCCGGGAAACGTGGGCCGGTGATGTGCCAAAAATCAATCGGCGGCTACGGGAGCGCGCACAACTCGCTGTTGCAGTTCTTCAAAATTTAACAAGATTAACACTTAAAAACAATTATTTGTTTGCTCGACATTATAGCAAAGGTGTGTCTCAGTTGTCAAAAGCCTAGAAGGCCCTCTTGCGCCTGCAAAAGGTGATGTTTACTCTGGTTCATGTCAGAATGATGAACATTTCAAGTGTCAGGGAAAAACTGCATCATGAATGTGGAAAAAAATGTATATAAGTCGCAGGACTGGCAAATCTAAGTAAAAAAACTGTGACTTATACGTCGGAAAATACAGTATTTATTGTAAATAATTCTTATATTCATTCCTAATATTTATTTCTTATTCTTTTTAAATATTTGTATTCTTTTTCAAGATAAAATACTTGGTATTTGTAACAAAATTTCTTGCACATGGAGTGAACATGTTTATACATATTAAAAACTATTACAGTTTAACCTAAAAGTGTAGAGTGGTTTTACCTAGTTTAAAAAGTTTGTAAGCATTCAAATGAAATAATTTATTTGCAGTGAATTGTGTTTGGTCTAAAAATGTAGTTTTGAGTTTTCGTTTGAAAAATCTGTAACCCCCCCCCCCCCCCCAAAAAAAAAAAAAAAAAAAAAACATGCAGATTATCAAAAAATCCCCTAAAATACAGGAGATCAACAAGAACGAGTTCAGAACAACAATTCTGTTGAATGTTAAACTGAGTCATGCTGAAGCAGAACGTCGACAAAACTTGAACAGTTTTAGTTAAAGTTGACTAACGGGGTAAAGGTTGTGATACTTTGGACAACTTGGATCTTTGAAACATTTTTATATTTACTTCAGCAGGTTTCCTGGTGTCTCTTAAAGAAAAGTTGTCCCAGGAAACCCATCCTTAAAGTTTAAAGAGATAAAAGTGGAATGATTTCACATTGATAGCTAGGAATGTGCGATATATACGGTACACGGTAGAAACGATAGACATTTAGCCGATGATAGAGATCTGTCTTCTAGCCAAGTAGTATCTCTGCAGACAAATTCGGAAGGCGTGTCTGGGGGGCCACATCTGATTGGACGATAGGAAAATAGGCGTGTCTGGGGGCCACATCTGATCGGACAATATGAAAACAGGCGTGTCTGGGGGCCACATCTGATTGGACGATAGGAAAATAGGCGTGTCTGGGGCCCACATCTGATCGGACGATAGGAAAATAGGCATGTCTGGGGGCCACATCTGATTGGACGATAGGACAATAGGCGTGTCTGGGGACCACATCTGATTGGACGATAGGAAAATAGGCATGTCTGGGGGCCACATCTGGTTGGACGATAGGAAAATAGGCGTGTCTGGGGCCCACATCTGATTGGACGATAGGACAATAGGCATGTCTGGGGGGGCCACATCTGGTTGGACGATAGGACAATAGGCGTGTCTGTGGCCCACATCTGATTGGACGATAGGAAAATAGGCATGTCTGGGGGCCACATCTGATCGGACGATGGGACAATAGGCGTGTCTGTGGCCCACATCTGATTGGACGATAGGAAAATAGGCATGTCTGGGGGCCACATCTGATCGGACGATAGGACAATAGGCGTGTCTGGGGCCCACATCTGATTGGACGATAGAAAAATAGGCGTGTCTGGGGGGGCCACATCTGGTTGGACGATAGGAAAATAGGCGTGTTTGGGGGCCACATCTGATTGGACGATAGGAAAATAGGCATGTCTGGGGGCCACATCTGATTGGACGATAGGAAAATAGGTGTGTCTGGGGGCCACATCTGATTGGACGATAGGAAAATAGGCGTGTCTGGGGGGGCCACATCTGGTTGGACGATAGGAAAATAGGCGTGTCTGTGGCCCACATCTGATTGGACGATAGGAAAATAGGCGTGTCTGTGGCCCACATCTGATTGGACGATAGGAAAATAGGCGTGTCTGGGGGGGCCACATCTGATTGGACGATAGGAAAATAGGCGTGTCTGGGGGCCACATCTGATTGGACGATAGGAAAATAGGCGTGTCTGGGGGCCACATCTGATTGGACAATAGGAAAATAGGCGTGTCCGGAGAGCCACATCTGATTGGACGATAGGAAAATAGGCGTGTCTAGGGGCCACATCTGATTGGTCGATAGGAAAATAGGCGTGTCCGGATGGCCATATCTGATTGGACCAAAAAAAAAAAGGCTGAACGAAAAAAAAGCAGTTTGTGTTAACCAGACATATTATGTCTATGGTGGTAACCGGTTCAACATTAGCAGCGTCTCCATAACTTCTTTTTCCGCCTCTCTTAACACAGAACTTCCGGTTACATTTCAAAATAAGAGCAACATAACTGGGTAGTGGGGAGGGCTAAATGTTTTTTAATACCTAGCCATAACATTAAAAAACAAAATCCATTTTGGTTGTTGAAAAATGTGAAAATAGTTACATTCAATTCATAAAGAAAGAAAAATAAAGTAGCCAAAATATTAATGATACTTCAACTGTCTTTGGGACAAAGGACGTTTCCTTTAACTTCACATTTTCTTGTTCATCTTTTAAATCAGTCGCTGCAGATGAGTGATTGTCAGTTTCTGTCAGATTCTGCACCTGGAGCAGGTATTCTGTTTACTGGTTCACTTCCTCAGCTGTCTCACATTTCAAGGGTCAGTCCTTCTCCATGTTTCAGCTCCTTTCATAGATCACATCTCATAGAAGAACTTCTAAAGAGAACATTTTGTTTTGGGTCATTGTCTCGTCACAGGACTCCTGATCTTTAATTGAGACCAGACTTTTTGACAAGTGGAGCAGGTTTCACTTCAGATGTTTCATATTTCATTGTTTCCAGACCAGACTCACCTGTGTCAGGTGCAGCTACAACCAAGAACTAAAGAGAATCTTCTTGTGTTTGACAGAAGACATAACGCTGGTTCTTAGAAACCTTCAGTTTAAAATAAGAGCTGACGTAACTTACGTAAAGAGCAGCAAATACAGCTGCTGATCAGTGTTTGCCCCCCACAAATGCCTATTCTCCAGAAACGCCCACTTTTGGCCTGCAGAGAACCCCTTCTCCTTCTAGCAGCTAACCGCAGAAATGCTGTGTCTGATGTAAAATCAGAGCTGTCAGATTTAATTGTTACTTTTTGTAGTTGACAACTGTGCGTGAGTGGTGTTAACGTAATTTCTTTGAGAGCTAAGTAGCGAAGCTACTAGCTAACTAGGCCGGCTTGCCGTAGCGTTGTGTATTCGGACGCATGCGCTAAACGCTGTGTTCCGGCGAAAGTTTTTTTTTTTTTTTTCCCCATCGAAAGTTAAAGTAAGCGTTGGTCAGCTTTAGAGAAACCTGCTCTCTGATCTGTGAAAAGAACCCTGTGTTGTGTGATTTTACTGTGAGACCCTCTGGTCAAAGCCACAGGGGAAACTGGTCGCCATTTTGTGTCATTTCTCCATTAAAGTGGAAGGAGACGCCCACTAGAGGGTGAAGTGTTTCAGTGTAAAATGCTGCTCTGTTGCTGTTCATTTCTTAAGTGAGACTGGAAACTGTTAAGAGTTAACAACATGTTCTTTAGTTTTAGCAATATGTTTTAAAGTAACTTTGATATTTTTTGCTCTGTTTTGCACTACAAGAAAGAAGCCTAATACTTGATTTGTTTTTTATTTTAAAACTCTGGACCTATTAGTGGAATTTTCTTAATTGAGATTATTTTGTATGTGTAGCAGTTTTCAAAATAAATTATGGCACAAAGGACACCCTGTGCTTTTTTTTCATTTCTACTGCAAGTTTTATACCAAAAACATATCGTGATATATAACGTTATCGCCACCCTTCACAATACATATCGTGATATGAATTTTATGCCATATTGCACATCCCTACGTTATATCTGAGTCTAGAGTCCACGGTGTCCAGTTTTATGAGCTGGTCCTACCAGATGTTGCTCTGCTGGGTCTGATCGGCCACCAGCAGGTTTCCATGAACCTCGTCCACGAGCTCCGGAGCGATCCAACGCAGCGGCATGTACGTCTGATCTGAGGTCACGTAGTAATCATCCTGGTGACAAAAGAAAAAATGAACTTTCCCAGCGACATTTACACATTTAATATTTTGGAACTGTGTTAGAAACTTTAGATCAAATGAATGAAAGTTTGTTTATTTAGAGTTAAAGTAAAGTTGAGATTACATGAACATTTCAGACACATTTACCTTATACTTGGTGTGAGCCAGACCATAATCCCCAATTTTTACTGACATTTCAGAAGTCAACAAGCAGTTCCTTGAAGCCAGGTCACTGATGACAGAGGAGGGGGGAAACAGCTTTTACACTAATTTACTTTGTATAAAGCAGCAGAAAAATGAAGATAAGTTAAAAAATGTTAGATCTCTGGCTGCAAAAACTGAGTGAGGGTCTAAATAATTACTCTTCTGGTCTGGTTCAACGAGTTTTTTGTTCAAAGTGAAGAGGGGGGGTCACCGCCTGCAACAAAATCACTGATGCTGGAGTCTATAGCGGCACTCAGGCAGCACCAGGATGTTGTTTCAGGAAGCAGCCAAGACTCCAGTTTACCACAGCGGGGGAGCTCGGTGTATCATTGTTGCATCAAGTTTAGCAGCTAAAGTTTGTTTCTACCTGTGTTTGAAGTTGTGCTTGTGCAGGTGCAAAAGTCCTGATGCAACGTCACAGGCCATCCTCTGCAGGATCAACGGCTCGGGGGTGATGGTCTCGTTGGACCTGCAGCTTCGGAGGTAACCCTTCACATCCCCCTGGACACGCAGCAGAGAAATGAAACAGCTGATTGTTGCAACTTTTCACCACTGGAGGGCAGTGTGAGCCAACAGCTGTTCGTGGCCTCCATGTCCACTCCTGACTGAAGCCTGAGTGAAGGAGCACCAGATCCTCTGAGATGAGCAGAGAAATCAAGTCTCGTCTAACTTTAGCTCAAGCTGCTCACATTTTACTGGGACTCCATTCTCATGTCATTTTCTCACACAAACTACAACTTAACGGTGAACCAAACGTGTTTTTGGTCAGCCAACAACAACTTACTTCATTTAATCGACTAACATAATCAATCACGTGGAGCTGGAGATTGATTTCCTGCTGCAGTCGGAGCGGAGCGCACGGAGCTCGGCTTTATACGTCTTAATTAACAGCAGCTGCCAACAATTGATTTTACGAACCAAAAATATTGCAAACACATATATTATGAAATGTTTCCAGCTGAATTCACTGAGCGGGTCGTAGATTATTTAGTATTTAACTTTGAGGGAATGTTGCTTTAATTGAGCTAAAACAAAACTTTGCAGGTTGTTCAGTTAATTGAGGAAGGAGAAGATTTATTTGCCAAATGTTTAGACGTCATTTCCCACGATGCAGAAAGAAATGCAGAGCGACACTTTGAGCTTTAGAAGCCAGATTAAGAGCTTTCATTAAAACGTGAGCGTCTGACGACAGACTCATTTCACTCAGTTGAACATGGCGGTGACATTTCATGACTGAAGAAGTTTTGTGTGTTTGGATGCTGACCAGTGGACAGAACTCCATCACCAGCAGGTAGGGCGTGACCTCGGTGCACTGCGCCAGACACTTCAGCAAGGCCGGGTGCTCGAGGGTCCTGGAGGGCAGGCAGGAGGAACGGTTACACTTGGGCACAAAAACACAGAAAAGAGCTGAAAACACGGCCGCCCGAACGGTGCGCTTCATTCTACACTCGTACACGTTCTACTGACGTCTTCACAGACTCTGAAAACATCCCTCGGCCTCTGGTCTTGCCTCAGCAGAGGATTGTGCAGAAACTGCAACATTTATGAAGCGTGGTGCAGAGGCGCCCACGGAAGGAGCAAACTCACAGAACTGCCTCCAAAACTGCACAGAAAGTACTTTGTGCAGATCTGTGTGTAAAATCCGCTCAGGGCATGAGTTGAGCTCAGTTTCTGTAAAACCACCTTGTGTTTGTTAAGGTTGATGAGCTGAGGCAGACCCAGACAGACCCAGACCAGGTACTGGATCTGTAAACTGAACCAGAAAGACGAGTGAATGTACCGGTAAGGTTTGGCTTCATCCAGGAAGTGCATCTGGTCCTGCACACCACTGCTGGTTTTGAGCTCCTTCACCACCACCTGGGTGGTGCTCAGGCCCGTGTTCACCTCCCCCAGCAGAACCTACAACAGGACCAGCATGCATACACAGAACACACACAAGTAGACCCAGTGAGCATGGAGTTCCACAAAGACCAACAAAACATGAAGACATCATGCAGGAGGACGGTAAAGGCAGAAATGAAGGACGAGCAGATGGACAGATGGACAGAAGGACAGATGGACAGAAGGACAGATGGACATGCCCAGGTAAAGAACACAAGGACGGAACAGACAGATGTTTATTCATGAGAGGAACGTATGAATCGGGAGAAAGGGCAGAACAAGAGAAAATGATGTTACTTGAAAAAGTTTTAGCATTTGTACTTGAAACATCTGAAATGTGTTTGATTCTCTTCACACCTGGTGCACTGAATAAGCGTGCACGTTGAAGACTTGTTCCCTGAGACCACCTTCTGGACCCCTTTCATCCACATGTTTGGCAGTCTGACCACAGTCGGCCCAGAGCTGAGCTCTGAACCTCCTGCTGAACTAATGTGACGCCACACTCGCAGTGGAGTTTTTACCCGGAGGTCTCAAAGTAAAAAATGTCCAAACAACCATTCAGCTCTAGTTCTGGTTCCTCTTTCTGTTAGTTAGGTGATTAGAGTTCTGTATAAATAACTCCACGTCGATGGGACTGAAGAGGCTCTGTACCGTGATCGTTCCAGAGGAGGATTATAGTTCAGGTGTTGGACATTTTACAGAGACATCAGCAGATGTTGCTGCTCACCAACAGCTGTCAACGGCATGTCAACTGTTTTTATTCTTTTCTGTCTGACGGTCGGCTGCTGCAAACACCGAGGCCTCGCAGGTGGTCTTACCTTCCCGAACCAGCCATTCCCAATCTCTTTCAGGTACAGCAGACTGCGGCGGCTCAGATCTGTGGACTTCAGCTGCAGGACTGGAAGAGAAAGAAGAGATTCTCTGAATGTCACAGATCATCAGCCTCACAGCTGTCCAACAGCTGTCCCAAACGTCCTGACCAACTAAATGACTGTGACAAGCCTGTGACCCATCTACTGCTGGTTTACAAAAACTGCTTATAACCCAGTTAAACATGAGCATCCTCAAACATTTTAAACATCCACAGTGTCATTTAGAACGATTTATGACGACTGTTTTTATCTTTTTCAACAATTATGGAGAAAATATTCCAAAGGTTGAATATCTGCAGACCCCCGCTTTGTGTTTTGTGGCCCACACTGGAGCTCCAATCCCAAATTTGTGAACCACTACAGTGCATGTGTGTGTGTGTGTGTGTGTGGTTTACCTCTTCTTCTTCACACATCATCACACTGACGGTCTCAGTAAATCCAGGCTGCCAAGCCTCAGATTTCAAAATGAATCCATTTGAATATTTAATCATCCAAAAGCCAAACGTATGTTTGTGTTGCATATTTTAACACAACAACGTGGCTCGATGTGAAACCAAGGACGACTGTAAAGATGGACTCCAACTCACAAACGAGTCGATTTCAGAGCTGATCCATTTTATGGAGACTGATAAACTCATGGATGAAAACTGTTGATGGATTTGTCATTTGATTATTTTTCATGTCAAATCAAACAAATAAATAAAACGATTATTCTCTGATCGTTTTTATAAGAATGTAAAATGCTCACTTAGGAGAATCGGACAGAAAATGAGTGACAGAGCAACCAAAGTCCAAAAACTGTCTGCATGACGCAACATCCAGGTTTGTAAGAGTCCACCGTCCAACCGACCGACATCAAGCATCTTTAAATAAACTGTCCTGCCTGCAGAACATACCTGACCATCCTGTCCCCTCCTGTCCCCTCCTGTCCTGTCCTCTCCTGTCCCCTCCTGTCCCCTCCTGTCCCCTCCTGTCCTGTCCTCTCCTGTCCCAGATCAGTCAAACAAAGACTGACCACACCTTCCACCCCCTCGTTTCAGTCTGCTTCAGCCACAATGACACTCTGAGTCCAACAACCAGATCTTTGTGGTTCTTCAGTCCCCCCACCCCCACATCCCCCACCAGACTCAAACACAGTCCTGTCTCCATCCTGGTCACTCCTTACGCCCACTTTCACTCTCCAGCCTAAAGCAGAATAGTCCCCATTGTCTGTCTGTGTGGGACAGCGTGGTACCAGTTGGACACACTGGGACCATTATGTCCAGAACAGAGGGACAAACAGAGGTTTGGTGAGAGGTTCCACCTCCACCATCACGTTTGCCTCAAACCTTCCTGCTCTCCTCACTCGTGGTTCTTGTTCTTAAACAGATCTCCACACAGGCTGAAAGATGAAGGTTCAGGAGGAAACTAGATTCAAACCTGAGAAACGTGTGAAAGTTTAGCTGGCAGCCCCGCCTGGACCTGCTGACATGAAGAAGCAATCGTGTCTAATGGCTGAACAAGATACGATGCATCCAGAACCACTCAGAGCCAAATGGATTTCCCATCATGCCTCTGTGCCACGGTCCATCTGTGCTTGGACGGTCGTCTAAAGTCAGTGTGATATTTGCTCGTTAATCCTGAGGAACCCACTTAGAACTGATATTGATTCAACGAAGGATCTGCTGTCTGAGCACCAGAACCGGACCAGTTTCTGGGTCTGCTCTCACAGCTCCTCGGAGAGCTCCATTAGTCTTTATGGAGCACAACAGCTGCATCTGGGCGGCTCCGAAAATCTGGGCCAGAACTCTGGGAGCGCCGGTGTCTCGTTAGGAACTCTGCCCTGAGAAAGAGTCGACTTCAGTGTCAGAGCGAAGCAGAACAACAGAGAGACGGGCCAAGAACCTTTCCTCTCAGTGAAACAACTTTAGAGCGTTTCAGCCCCTTGACTTAGATGCTTTAACGTCTTTTTGGATTTCATCTTCTACACTCACATTTTAAGTCAAGATTAGTTTTTAACAATGAAAAAGTGAAGAAATGTAGAAAAAAAACAAGGTTGTAGAAAAAATGACCAGAAAACTATAAAGGGTAGTGTCTAATGGAGAAAATGTGACGAGAATTGAGCAGCAGATCCATTTCTTCACTCAGCTGCTCTGGAGAAACTCGAATGAAGTCAGAGGGCGAGGCCGTCCTGAAGGTGCACGCATGAATCCCACACCAACAACCATATGGTTTCTATCGCTCACCGAGGACAAAACATGTGTTCAAGTGTCAGCTCACTTGATAAAACGCTGCTCGTTATCAAAAAAACATGTGAGGAGAAGATTCGTTTCAGGTTTTTCTTTCTGGAAACTAATTTGCATCTTTTCCAAAGCTTCAGGGACTCTTAAAGCTTCAGCAAATAAAACCAGTCATCGTATGTTTCACCCTCTTTTTTTAATCGCTCGTGTTTGTGTCATATCAGCAGAGTCCCGTGTCAAAGGTTCATCGCCCCGTTAAGAAACAAGGCGACACATTGTTGGCCTCGTTCGGGGGGAGTGAAGGAGGAATCTTCTCTCTGGGGGTTTGTGCTCCCACGTGCCTCACATTCCAGCAAACAGCAGCGCAGAACGCCTGCCTGGACGCTATTATGCAACGTGCAGATGTTTGTGGGAGAAAGTTAAAGGGTTCGTTCTGCAGTGAGGGATTGTGGGATAGGTGGAGGCCCAGCTGACCAGCGTCAGGGTGGTGCCCCCTACAGGGACACACAAAGCTCTCCTCACTCTTCTGCTGCTCTCACACCCTTGAAATGTTCTTTGGTGTGGACGGATCTGGCCGGGTTCTGCAAAGCTGCTGGAGGGTTTGCATCAAGAGTCATAAATAAATTTAAAAACTGACAAAGATACGATGACGGGAGGAACCTACGAATGAAAATGAGGGGATGTAACGTCAACCTGCTCTCCATCTTCAAACTTTCACACCTCTTTTGAAGGACTTCAGGGCCACAGAACCAAAGAACAGAACCTGCAGCCCAGTTGGTAACGGTTCAGAGAGTAGAGCTGGTCACCTGATCGGGCCGGTGGTTTGGTGGTCGGCAGCGACACCTCAGTGAGTGGCAGGATGTAGACGTCCGGACTGCCCTGGGAGGCCGGAGACGCCAGCGTGGACATGTCTGCATGGTACTCGTCCCCGTCCACATTCTTAAACTCCTGAAACACATAAATATCCTTACAAATGGTTTCTGACTTTGATATAAGTTAAATTGTAGGGATTTATGGTTGTCCTAAATAAAGCTGATGTCTTCCCAGACTACTCACAACTTTTTTTAAACCCAGATTGTAGCACAAATAAATATTTTAAAAATGCTTTAAAAGTGGAGGACCCTGCATGTCCAACAACTTCACGTTCAGGGTAACGTAGAAACAGCAGATCAGCTGAGAGCAGTTTATAGCAGAGAGAGAAATGAGAAAGTTGTTGTTTGGCCCAACAACTGATGCAGAGCTGAGATAAACCTGAGAGGCTGCGTCGGCCTGGTTTAACGTCTGCGGGCGGTTTGTGAGGCTGAGCGTCACCGTGTGTAAGCACGCACACGCCAGGCTGCTATAAATCCACTGATTATTAGCTCCAACGTTACATGTAACTCAATCCTTCACAGATAAACCCGATCGACTCAGACATCGTCTGGAAACCTCTGACAAACGATTTTTACTTACTGGAACCAAAAACCTTCAGATTTTAACTCCATTTAACACCGAGTGACTCGTTCTCTTCAAACAGTAAAGAGCGTTTCACAGCGACTGATGTCAAAAGAAGATCAGAGATTCTCTGTCGTTCCACCACATGTGGTGCATGTAACTATGTTCACAGGGTCCCAGTTACATCCAACAATAAAATGCAAAAGAAAAACAGTCATCAGATCTAAGATCTTAAAGATCATGAATCTGATTATAAACTTTTATACCTGGAAATAAAAGAGATCCGTTGGAGAAGCTTTTCTGAAACTAAAGATAAAATTAAAGTTGAGTCTAAAAAACTCTCCTTATCTGTTAGAAAGTAATAAAAATCAAAACAAGAAAAAATAAGAAACTTAAATTACTGATCACCTGGCTGAGATTAGAAAAGTTGAGTCAATAAAATAAAGTTTTCTAGGATTATAAGTTGAGAACCACAAAAAGAAATAGAATGGACTTTTTTCATTTGAACTGATGGAGAGAGTCATTTTACACTAAAATATTTGTTTTATAAATTCATTATGATAAAGTTTGACTCCTAACAGCTTTCTGAAAGATTGATTTTATTTGCTGTGAAACAATAACGCAGAGGAGGATGAAGAGGAGGAGGATGAAGAGGAGGAGGATGAAGAGGAGTGGGGAGTTGGCTGCGTCAGGCCGGATGTCAGAATAGAAGTCCCTCAGATGGGAGCTGGAGAACTGGTGGGGGGGTGCATCACTGGAAAAATGTGACCCTCTGTGCACCACCCACACATAAACACCTCCATCTCCCACTTCCTGCTGACCCCCAAGAATCTGAGCACATGCACACTTGTGCACGCCACGCCCCCCCTCTCCTTCTTGGATCTGGATCTTCACACGATCCTGCTCACCCCACCCTACCCCACGGTTCAACATGTGGTTTCACTCTCAGCAGCTTCACACATGCATAAACGCACACGCATGTACACACGCACGCATGCACACACACGCAAAGTTTGTCTTTACATCTTTATAGGGACTTTGCATTGACTTCCATTCATTTTTCATTTATTTCTATATCCTTACCCTGACCCTTACCTAAACCTAACCATTACCAGTGCAAACCTAACACTAAATAACCATTACCAGTACAAACCTAACACTAAA